TTCAAATGAGTTCATGCTCTTCCTTTCCAACACTATGTATTCCCTGTCTAATTTTCACTATCATATATAGAAATAGTCTATTTGGTCCTTTGCCCACCATTTGGTGATACAACTTGAATCCTATTTAGCGCAAAGAAAGCACTACATTAAATCCCTGCTATATTTTATCAAAGTCTCTGGAATAAATGGTCAGGAAGTGGTTGGCTTGATGGAACAATTCATCTTACATAGTGTTGGCTGGATGTTAGTAATTGATGGAATCTGATGTTGAGACAAGAAAGTGTCTTGCAGCACCTTAAAGACCAGCAGATTTATTATGGCAGAAGCTTGTAGGCTACGGCACTTTTCATCATGAAGTGTTATCCTCAACTGGCAGCTCACTATCGTATATATTTCTCCCAGACACACTTGCCCCAAAGTCTTTAGAGTCATATAAGCGAGCAGCAAACTATGTTTCCAGCCCAAAACTATTCAATCATAATACAAGAAATGGGTTGAGATGGAGAATTCTCTTACAGAGATCCACTCTACAGCATATTGCTAAGACCTGGTTTAGTATGCCTGAGGGCCTGGCTCGAAAGCACTATGTATGAAAAAAGATCTTGGAGTCCTTGTGGACAATAAGTTAAACATGAGCCAACAATATCATGTGGTGGCAAAAAAGGCCAATGGGATTTTGGCCTGCATCAATAGGAGTATAGTGTTTAGATCCAGAAAAGTCATGCTACCCATGCTTGACTCAGTTGGTGGGGACAAGAGACAGGGCCTTCTCAGCAGTGGCCCCCCGCTTGTGGAACTCTCTCCCTAAGGATATCAGGTGTGCCACCTCCCTCCTGTCCTTTAGAAGACAACTGAAGACCTGGCTCTGGGGCCAGGTGTTCAATTAGAGGCCAGCGGCAATAGGAAAAGGAAATTTGGATTTTGCGATACAAATTCTCCCGGTTCGGCTTAGTTTTACTGGCACGTTAATCTATTAATTTATTGTTAAATTTTACGGATGATGTAGCATAATGTTTTAAAATGATTTTATTGGAAATTGTAATTTTTATTGTAGTTATGCTATTAGCATCCTCTGATGCCCATGTGAGGCCGCGCTGAGTACCCCTTGTGGGGAGAAGGGCGGGATATAAATATATGAAATAAATAAATAAATAAATAAATAAATGTTCTATTCTGCCTTGGTCAGACCACACCTGGAATCAAACTGTGGCCAATTTGGGGCACTGCAATTGAAGGGAGATGTTGACAAGCTGGAATGTGTCCAGAGGAGGCCAACCCAAATGGAGAACAAGCCCTATGAGGAGTGGCTTAAAGAGCTGGGCATGTTTAGCCTACAGAAGAGAAGGTTGAGATGAGACATGATGACGGCCATATATAAATATGTGAGGGAGAAGAAAGCTTATTTTCTGCTGCCCTGGAGACTATGACGCTGAACAATGGCTTCACACTACAGGAAAGGCGATTCCACCTGAACATTAGGAAGAACTTTCTGAGTGTGAGAGCTGTTCAGCAGTGGAACTCTCTGCCCTGGAGTTTGGTGGAGGCTCCTTCTTGGAAAGCTTTTAAACGGAGGTTGGATTGCCATCTGTCGGGGTGCTTTGAATGAGATTTTCATGCTTCTTGGCAGGGGGTTGGACTAGATGGCACACATGGTCTCGTCCAACTCAATGAATCTATGATTCTAGTAGAATAATGCCTTTGCACTATTCCAGCAGACTATAGGAGTGATGGTTCTTCAATGCAAATGTATTTGTGCATTGTATTTTGACAGCACTCAGTCATCCCAAAAGGACTGGGTAGAAAGCAGAGTGCATTTAATGAGTCCCACCAAATAATTTAGGGCACCGAGAGTAGAGCTGCAGCAACACAGGGATTTGAACAGAATTCCTCCTGGATTGGCAATGAGCCTTTGCAAAAGTCCAGCTTTAGAGTAAGAACTGGAACAACCCAGGGTATGTCAAATGTGTTAAAATGCAGGATGTGAGCCCTGGTAAGGATGGCAGAAATATTTTGATACCTTCACAGCTGCTGCAAATATTTTATTACTGGTTCTCTGTTCCCCTATGACCCTGCTAGCCCTATTTTACCTGAATTCAGAAGGATTTATTGACAAAACAGCCCCTTGTCCCTGTTTCTAGAACCAGTTGATTTATTTGCAGCTCTGGTCCCTTCTCAATCCTTGTTTGAGCCCTCTGAATGACATCACAGGGCCTCTTCCAAAATTTCCTGGAATAGGATCCTGTGGTCCTGGAGCTGTGGGCCTTTGTGATTGACATGGGCTTTAGCAGCCATCCACAAACATCAGATGCCGATATTATAAACTTCAGCTTCTAGATATATTAAATTTAAAATAAATCTCTTTCTTGGGTTGCTGTGATTTTTCTGGGCTTTATGGCCATGTTCCAGAAGCATTGTTTCCTGACATTTCACCTACATCTATGGCTGAAATCCTCAGAGATTGTGAAGTTTGTTGAAAACTAGGCAAGTGAGGTTTATATATCTGTGGAATGTCCAGGGAGAAAGAATTCTTGTCTGATTGAGATAAGTGTAAATGTTGCAATTGGCCACCTTGATTAGCATTGAATAACTTTGCAGCTTCAAAGTCTGGCTGCTTCCTGCCTTGGGTAATCCTTTGTTGGGGGGTGTTAGCTGGCCCAGATTGTTTCTTGTCTGGGTTTCCTCTCCCTTCTTCCTGCTTGTCCTCCTCACTTCTTCCTCTTCCTCCTCCTCCTTTTTCCTCTTCTGTTTTTCCCCTCTTCTTCTCCTCCTTCCTCTCCCTTCTTCCCGCTTGTCCTCCCCACATCTTCCTCTTCCTCCTCCTTTTTCCTCTTCTGGTTTTCCCCTCTTCATCTTCTCCTTCCTCTCCTTTCTTCCCGCTTGTCCTCCCCACTTTTTCCTCCTCCTCCTCCTTTTTCCTCTTCTATTTTTCCCCTCTTCTTCTTCTTCTCCTTCCTCTCCCTTCTTCCCGCTTGTCCTCCCCATTTCTTCCTCCTCCTCCTCCTTTTTCTTCTTCTGTTTTCCCCCTCTTCTTCTTTCTCCTTCCTCTCCCTTCTTCAACACTTGTCCTCCCCACTTCTTCCTCTTCCTCCTCCTTTTTCCTCTTCTGGTTTTCCCCTCTTCTTCTTCTTCTCCTTCCTCTCCCTTCTTCCCACTTGTCCTCCCCACTTCTTCCTCCTCCTCCTTTTTCCTCTTCTCTTTTCCCCCTCTTCTTCTTTCTCCTTCCTCTCCCTTCTTTCCGCTTATCCTCCCCACTTCTTCCTCTTCCTCCTCCTCCTCCTTTTTCCTCTTCTGTTTTTCCCCTCTTCTTCTTCTTCTCCTTCCTCTCCCTTCTTCCCGCTTGTCCTCCCCACGTCTTCCTCCTCCTCCTCCTTTTTCTGCTTCTGTTTTCCCCCTCTTCTTCTTTCTCCTTCCTCTCCCTTCTTCCCACTTGTCCTCCCCACGTCTTCCTCTTCCTCCTCCTCCTATTTAAATGCCAGAAGTATACAGAAGGAAACGTCCTTCATAAATAATGTTCAAGGGCAAGGAACCAGCAAATGTTGCCCATTGCGAAAGCCCCTCTGGACACAAAAGTCATGTTACATCTTGTTATTCTGCCTGGGTTGTCAGTAGGACATGTTTATCCACTCGACTGGGTTTTCATTTTAGACAGGAAACACTACGTAAGATAACTTTTTCTATATCCCTCAAGATTGTAATCCTTGTTTTTTTTAGGGTTTGTTAGCTTTATCTGAAGTGAGTGCTTTGAGGATCCTTTCCTAACTCAAAGGGAAGCAAAAGAGATAGGGTCTGAATCAATATGCACAAACATGTCCCTTTCTTGATTTCTTTTTGCTGTCTTGGAAAGAGCAGGAACATCTTCACAGTCAGAATAATAACGTTGTCCAGGCAATCCACATTTTGCAGACATTTCTGTGTGGAGTTGTTTTTCCTTGCAGCCAGATTTGTTTATCCTAAGATGAACCCAGAGTTACAATTTTAGCTGGAAACTTGTTTTGTTTGCAAGGAGAATTAATTGCCCTGCTTCTCATCTACTTAAGTCAGTGAACAAATTATTCACTGCACCGGGATTGTGGCACAGCTGGCTGAGTGTCAGCTGCATTAAGATCACTCTGACCAAAAGGTCATGAGTTCGAAGCCAGCCCGGGCTGGAGTGGGTGTCCAGCCATTGTGTAGCCTGTTGTCGACCTTTGCAACCCGAAAGACAGTTGCATCTGTCAAGTAGGAAAATAAGGTACCACCTTGTGTGGGAGGCTAAATTTAACTAATTTATGAGGCCATAAAGAAAGAAGACTCCGGGGAATGTGGAATGCGGAAGAACTTCATCGGTGTCGTTGATGGACGATGAAAAGCAGCAGCTCCCCTGGCGGCCAGAAAAAAAAGTTAAATAGCCTCGGTGTCTGTTAAATGTTGTTTGTCAAACTGGCATTGAATGTTTGCCATATATGTGTTTACTGTAATCCGCCCTGAGTCCCCTGCGGGGTGAGAAGGGCGGAATATAAGAACTGTAAATAATAATAATAATAATTCACATTTTAATAAGAAATATTTGGGTGATAAAACTATAGCAGGATGGGAGTTGGATCAAAGCAGACGATGGCCAATGAAGGGATGAAGTCTTGAGGAATCAGTAGAGATGGAAGGAACTTTTGAAATATTTGGGAAATATTTGAAAAACACTTTTTTGAGCACTGAAACTGGACTGACAAGGATCTAGAGAGAATGAAGGAGTCCAAATGGATGGATGGATGGTAATGTGTAGCCCCAGTGCCCAACCCAAGTATATACCCAAACCTCCAATATGACAAATAAAAGCTTTAAACACAGATTCGAAGCATGTATTCAGATATATTTCTTTGTGACAATAAGAACTGTGGAAGTTGACAATCTCTCCACAGGCTGTTTTGACAGCTAGTGAGGACAAGAATGAGATATTTTGCAAATACTCTTCACATCCCTGATGCACACATATTCTAAATCAGGAAAAAAAATTAAGACGGCACCTTCTTTTACTGGGTATGACACCCATCTCTTCACTGTCCCCCTCCAGCATAACTCTTCTGGCCTGCCACCATTCATCATCAGAGGCATTGATAACATGGAGGATGTCTCCGTACTTGAAGCTGAGTCCTTGGCTTGGGAGACCACTGTCTTTGCTTTTGTCATAGTCAAACATGGCTCTGGAAAAAGAAAAGAAATAATAATTAATACAAAAATTATAAAAGCAATGGAAAGCAACATGATTTTTAGAAGCACACCTCATTACATGTCCCTTTTGACCTGGTCACTTGATACCTATGACTTGTATGAAAAAGGAAGGTCAACCTTCAAGGGAACCACTGACCGCATAGGGAAACTGATGAGGAAACACAACATACAAACCACTTACAGACCCACCAAGAAAATCCAACAAATGCTACGTTCAGCAAAGGACAAGAGGGATCCTCTCACCTCTGCAGGAGTCTACCGTGTACCATGCAGCTGTGGACAAGTCTACATAGGGACCACCAAACGCAGCGCCCAGACACATCAAGGAACATGAAAGGCACTGCAAACTACTCCAACCAGAGAAGTCAGCCATAGCAGAGCACCTGATGAACCAACCTGGACACAGCATATTATTTGAGAACACAGAAGTGCTGGACCACTCTCACAACCACCATGTCAGACTACACAGAGAAGCCATTGAAATCCACAAGCATGTGGACAATTTCAACAGAAAGGAAGAAACCATGAAAATGAACAAAATCTGGCTACCAGTATTAAAAAACTCAAAAATTACAGCAGCAAAACAACAGAGGGGAAACAAACAGGCACATGAAATCACTCTCAACAAAAGATTCCCCCCAGGCGCTTCCAAGCCATTGAGTGTAAATCAAGGTGATCAGCTAAAACATTCACAGCTAGCCCCAGCAAACAAAAGTCCTTTGTCTCACCCTGGTCATTCCACAGATATATAAACCCATTTTTCCCAGTTCCAACAGACCTCATACCTCTGAGGATGCTTGCCATAGATGCAGGCAAAATGTCAGGAGAAAAATTGCCTCCAGAACATGGCCATATAGCCCGGAAAAACCTACAACAACCCATGGATTCCGGCCATGAAAGCCTTCGACAATAAAAAGGAAGGTCTTTGTGTGATGGTGAAAAGAAAGCGGAAACTGAACTAACCTTAGGAGGGAATTCTATAGCCTAGGAGGAGCCATTAAGAAGGCTTCCATTATGTCCTCACCACTCGAGCCTAGGATGAAGGTGGGATGTGGAGAAAGTCTTCTCCTATAAGACTTGGATAGGCTTGTATGGGGAGACATAGGAGTTCAAATAGTCTGGGTCCAAGAGAGGATGTACATTGACCTCTTATTCCAGGACTGATCAGGAGTGGCGAATGCTGGATTAGCCTCAGGATAATTTAGACCACTACTCTCACCAGCTGAAGCAGAGATGGGAGGAAATCTTGACTATCCAACTGTGCCGTACCTGGTTCAATGGCACCAGATGGTTTCTCTTACCATCCTGTCCCTTTCTCCTCATCATGGGGGCCAGCATATGCAACATGTGTCATGATAGTCTCTTGTCACCTGGAGTGATGTCAGCCAGGACACTAGAGCAACAAGGGAAAGAGAAAAGGAGGAATTGTCCCCTCCTCTCTGCTCTCCTTTCTCCAATCACTTTGTCACTCTGGCCAGTATTACTCCAAGTGATGAGTGACCAGCATGACCCATGTTGTTTCCACTGGCTGCCATGAGGGAGATAATAGGGGCAGGAGGGTAAGTGCCATCCTGTTTCCAGCACCACTCGAGTCCAGACAACATGGGAAAGCCGTGTAAACAAGTCTGTCTCAGAACTGGTCCAATGGTTTACTTGATCCCAAAGTCACACTTTATTCCAGATTCTTGGGGGGGGGGGATTTGGAACAACCCATGACTTTGGCAAATGCAGTTCAAGGCTTGGTTCTGTGCATCGTGAGGCTGCTTATCCACTGGACATTTGTGCTAAGTGTTCAGTGTAGCTGTGCATTGAGTTATATAGGGCTTTATAGGTCAGTAGCAGTGTTTTGAATTGTGCCAGTAATAAGTCAGCTCTGCAGGATCACATTAGGAGCTGCTCTCTAGGTGTGATTATGAGCATGTTTTCTTGTCAGAATGCTAGTCCTTTTTGTTGGCGCTAAGCACTCAAATCTCTTTGTAACAGAGCAACGTTTTAGGAACAGTTCTCTCAAATTAATCTTCATTTGGTGCCATTCACTGGCATAGAGCTCTTATGGCATCATTAGGGGTAGGCAGGGGAAAAAAACCTCAACCCCACAGCAGGATTTCCGTGCTAATGAAATGAACATTTGCAAAACAGTCGTTAGCACAGTTGTTGCTGTTTTATGGTTTATTGCAACTGTATGGCAAAATAATTTGTAAAGCTGTGGGAGCACCCATCCAGGATTAAATTAGGCAAAGAAGGGAGATGCTATTTTAAGCAGGTCTTTTCAGAGGAAAATAATGGCTCTGAATCCCACCATTTAAAAAAGTCAGGTGTGTTCCATGGTCAATTTGATTGGCTAGACTGTTGTTTTCATGTTACTGAGATAACAAAAAATGGTTAATTAAAAAACAAAACCAATTTTCCAAACTATTTAATTGAGTTGTTGTTCATTCGTTCAGTCGTCTCCGACTCTTCGTGACCTCATGGACCAGCCCACGCCAGAGCTCCCTGCCGGCTGTCACCACCCCCAACTCCTTCAAGGTCAGTCCAGTCACTTCAAGGATGCCATCCATCCATCTTGCCCTTGGTCGGCCCCTCTTCCTTTTGCCTTCCACTTTCCCCAGCATAATTGTCTTCTCTAGGCTTTCCTGTCTCCTCATGATGTGGCCCAAGTACTTCAACTTTGTCTCTAGTATCCTTCCCTCCAAGGAGCAGTTGGGCTTTGTTTCCTGGAGTATGGACTAGTTTGATCTTCTGAGGCCAAAGGCACTTTCAGAATTTTCCTCCAGAACCACAGCTCAAAAGCATCTAACTTATTTTGCTCAGCCTTTTTTTATGGTCCAGCTCTCACATCCATGGGTTACTACAGGGAATACCATGGCCTTGACTAGGCGGATCTTTGTTGCAAGTCTGATGTCTCTACTCTTCACTATTTTATCGAGACTGGACATTGCTCTCCTCCCAAGAAGTAAGCGTCTTCTGATTTCCTGGCCACAATCTGCATCTGCAGTAATCTTTGCACCTAGAAATACAAAGTCTGTCACAGCCTCCACGGTTTCTCCCTCTATTTTCCAGTTGTCAATCATTCTTGTTGCCATAATCTTGGTTTTTTTGACGTTTAGCTGCAACCCGGCTTTTGCGCTTTCTTCTTTCACCTTGATTAGAAAGCTCCTTAGCTCCTCCTCGCTTTCGGCCATCAGGGTGGTGTCATCTGCATATCTGAGGTTGTTAATGTTTCTTCCAGCAATTTTCACCCCAGCTTTGCATTCATCAAGCCCCGCACATCGCATGATGTGTTCTGCATACAAGTTAAAAAGGTTGGGTGAGAGTATGCAGCCTTGCCGTACGCCTTTCCCAATCTTGAACCAGTCTGTTGTTCCGTGGTCAGTTTTTACTGTTGCTACTTGGTCCTTGTACAGATTCCTCAGGAGAGAGACAAGGTGGCTTGGTATGCCCATCCCACCAAGAACTTGCCACAATTTATTATGATCCACACAGTCAAAGGCTTTAGAATAGTCAATGAAGCAGAAGTAGATGTTTTTCTGAAACTCCCTACCTTTCTCCATTATCCAGCGGATATTGGCAATCTGGTCTCTCGTTCCTCTGCCTTTTCTAAACCCAGCTTGAACATCTGGCAACTCTCGCTCCATGTATTATTGGAGTCTTCCTTGCAGGATCTTGAGCATTACCTTACTGGCATGAGAAATAAGGGCCACTGTACGGAAGTTGGAGCAGTCTTTCGCATTTCCCTTTTTTGGTATGGGGATATAAGTTGTTTTTTTCCAGTCTGATGGCCATTCTTGTGTTTTCCATATTTGCTGGCAAATGGCATGCATCACCTTGACAGCATCATCTTTTAAGATTTTAAACAGTTCAGCTGGGATCCCGTCGTCTCCTGCTGCCTTGTTGTTAGCAATGCTTCTTAAGGCCCATTCAACCTCAATCCTTAGAATGTCTGGTTCTAATTCACTCACCACGCTGTCAAAACTATCCTCGATATTATCCTTCCTATACAGATCTTCTGTATAGTCTCGCCACCTTCTCTTGATCTCTTCAGCTTCTGTTAGGTCCCTGCCATCTTTGTTTCTTATCATACCAATTTTTGCCTGAAATTTACCTCCAATGTTTCTAATTTTCTGGAAGAGGTCTCTTGTCCTTCCTATTCTGTTGTCTTCTTCCACTTCCATGCATTGCTTATTTAAAAATAGTTCCTTATCTCTTCTGGCTAACCTCTGGAATTGCGCATTTAACTGGGCATATCTCCCCTTACTATCACTGTTTCCTTTTGCTTTCCTCCTTTCTTGGGCTACTTCCAGTGTCTCAGCAGACAACCATTTTGCCTTCTTGATTGAGAGAGAAGTACAATTCTCCAACTGTAGAAATGTATTCATCCTTTTCTCTTAACCACAGCTTCCCAAAACTTCCAGAAAATGTAGGGAAAGATTGGGAAAAAGTGACTTTGTATTACAAACTGAGAAGCAGTGTGGTGTAGTGGTCAGAACATTGGACTATCACTCCAGAGACCAGGGTTCAAATCCATGCTTGGTCATTAAACCCACAAGATCACACACATTCTCAACCTCAGAGGAAGGTGAGGTCAAACATCTTCTAAACAAATCTTGCCATGGGTTGTTGTAGGTTTTTCGGGCTGTATGGCCATGTTCTAGAAGCATTCATGAAAACTCTGTGATAAGTTCTCCTTACGTCAGAAATGACTTGAAGGCACATGACAACAATAGCAAAGCTTCAGTCTCATCCATCTAAATAGGAGCTCCAGTGGCGCAATGAATTAAACCCTTGAGCCAGCAGGACCGAAGACCAACAGGTTGCAGGTTCGAATCCGGGGAGAGCGTGGATGAGCTCCCTCTGTCAGCTCCATCTCCTCATGCAAGGACATGAGACAAGCCTCACACAAGGACGCCCAAAAACATCTGGGCATCCCCTGGGCAACATACTTGCAGACGGCCAGTTCTCTCACATTAGAAGC